AGTTATATACCTTTAGCAGCATATCCAAGATCAGGGTTATCTTTCTACAGCAACATGACAACCACAACACCACCCTCTACTCTGGCATTAGAGGCAATTGTATGCACTGGTGTCTGCATCCAACCAACAAGAACCAAATTAGATTGCAGAAATGGTGATATTAATAATTAGTCAAGCACCATAACACATTCTTAATAAGCTTAGAATATAGTTGGGACTTGGGAGTGAGTTTTCTTTACTCAAACTGGCTTGATATTTTATCTGCCTTCTTTATTTGCATCTTATAAGTAGAACATCGACATCGTAATAAGCCTCATCTTATTTGCATCTATTCAGATTCTTGTTAATAAGTTTAAACATTATTGACATGGATAAAAATGGCAGGAAAAATGGTTGTGCAAAACAAAACAAAAAAGATGCATTTAAAGGAATTAAAACTCAGTTTTTTCGTAAACATCCACTCAGTCAATGAATGCTGGAGTGAAGCTGTATTCACAGAGAATAAAAAACAGAGAAATGAAGAATTGGAGAGTATAACCATGGTTGAAAACACCGAGAATGGCTGCTATAAGCTACTCTTTTAATAGTTTGTTCCAGAACACACTCTTTCTTAATTTCAAAACATTGATAAGTTTATAATATAGTTGTGAGTAAAACACCACATCACACTCTTACTAAGCTTAGAATATACGGAGTAATTCAGAGTAAGATATATTTTCCCTAACTAGTAAACGAACAAGTGAAACAGAAAAATATTGTTTCAGGTGTGTAGTTCTTACACTATCACAAGCTTTTTGACAATAATGTTATCTTTTAGGTATGTTTTAATTTTGTTGCTGGAAAGTGTCTTACTTTGAAGTTGATTTGAGAAGTGATGATTATTACTGTGAAATCAACATAAAAATAAAATGGGCCAAAGACAATAAAGGATGTGAAGCTCATTGGTAATGGAAAGATACTTGAAAAGAGTAAAATAGTTTCTGAATCAAGTCATCAACATCTACTGTCCCAGAAAGTGCAGCAGGTGGCATTACTATGCTTCTTCTTGTGACCACTAAGGCTGAAAAAAAACAAGGGTGATTCTTAAATTGGAGTTGAAGAGCAACTATTTTGAAGCTCATTTTTTAAACAGAGCCATAGTTTTTCAAGCTCATTTTTTTAGCAACTTTTCAAGCTCATTTTTTTTAGCAACTTTTCAAGCTCACACTAACAATGGAAAAGCATACAGAACAAAAATAATAATAGGGCAAACAACAATCAAAATAGGGCATATAATAATTTTTGGAGGATATAGCAATTACCCAAACTCATCTACCTATCTTTGACATGAAGCTTCCCATTTTGATCACCAATTCGAAGGGCAAGGAGTATTTACGTGACTTTGGAGTCTCCCCGATCGTCAAGTAAGCCAATGATGTGTACTCGGAATTCAACCGCTCTCCCTCGAACATCAGGTCCTCTGGCGAATAGGAGACCGAAAAACTGGAAAAACAGCTATTGCTATCGACACCAAACCTCTTCACCGTCGTCAAGATCGCCAATAGCATATCCAACTGATTATTCATTGTCCGGCGCCATAATCGCAATACACAAAACAGACCAAAATGCGATAGAGAGAAACGATGAAACAACATAGTTGAGAAATGGGAATGAGAAATGGGAAAACGATAGAGTTTGACGGAAGGACTAACGGAGGTTTAACTAAGACCAATACAAATTAGATATCAAATAATATAGGGACATATTAGCAAATTAGGAGGAGAACCGAGAGCACTCAAAAATAGATCCTTGCTGTAAAAAATTGACACATGTCTTAACCTTAGTGGATGGGTATGGTACCCATAATTTTATCAGGGTACCGAAGTACGCACCATGAAAATTATGAGAACTACGAGTAACAAATAAAATACAAGTGTGTAGAACGGATTATTTGCTGCAACACGTTCGTCCTCTTCATTTGCATTTGAAATCATGTTCCATTTGACTACTATGTCCATTCGACTACTATGTCAAACCCTAGCACTTCAAAATTCAAACCTTTTGCTCTGTTTTACAAATTGTTGTTCTTGATTTAATTGCGACAATGATGAATTACAGCTCACCATTTATTTGGAGTTGCTTATGTTTCTCAATTTTCTTTCTTAAATACAACTAATATGTGTAGTTTTCCAACAGTTTTGTCTGTTGAGAAGATATTTAAGTTTTTGAGAGAGGAGAAGTTTTCATTTTTAAAATTATTCATTCTAGCTATTACATTCTACCGGCTAATTTAAAATATTGGTCTCTTAGGCATGTGGTTCCACTTAAGTCAATCGTAAATATTAAAATTGGGTTGACTGTAAGGTGCTCACCGTACAGTTGGACTTATGATATACAAACTCGGTCAAGGTAGGATGAATAGAGGTGTATACATGAAGACAAAAACGGATCTGACGTGATCTAATTTAACTGAAAAATTTTTTACGTACACCCTGGATTACACCCAGGGGTACGCCATATAACCCCCCCCCCATTTTTTATATCCTCCTTTCCCACTTTTCTCTCTCCCCACTCTCTTCTCTCACCTTCTCCCCATTTTGCACCATACGAAGTCCTCCTCCTCCTCCTCCTCACACACCGACATTGGTTTTCGTGCAACCAGCCTGGCAGATCTGCAAACTCACACCGACAATTTAATCGAAAATGTCTGTGTTTTTACGTTTTTTTGTCTGTGTGAATGGCAAATAAATGGGGTGTAACCCAGGGTGTAGTCATGGACCGGTACCGGTCCAGGTCCAACCGGGTTTTTGGGGTAGGCCCGGAACCGGCCCGGGTATCCACCAGGTCCGGGCCAGGTCGGGCCGGTCCGGTTCAAAGTTTTTTTTTTGTTTAGCCTATCTAATTAACCCCCGACCCCCCCCCCCCCCCCTTCACCCCCCACCCCCCAAACCCACCCAAAACACCCAGGCTAACCCGGGAAAACAAAAAAAATTGAAAAAAAAATCGACCCGGACCGGCCGTGCCGGTTCATGATTTGGCCATCCCGGAACCGCCCCCCGTGTTTCCCTCGGGTCGGGCCCAGGCCCAGTACCGGTCAGCCGGTCCGGTCCGGTCCGGGCCCGCACAGTAACGGGCCAGTTTCGGGCCGGTCAGACCGGACCCGGTCCATCAGTACCAGGGTGTAACCCAGAGTGTACACCAAGAAGGATTCAATTTGACTTTGTTTTGACATGTTTTGACCGGTTTTTGAACGTGACGTGTTTGATTGTTGTTATGGATTTTGGTCTTTTCCAATTCGGTGGGCATGCCAGACTGGTAGATCAGTCTGATCGCCACGTTCTAGGTCAAATAGTTTAGCTTGGTCTGATTTTTAAAAGATTATATCTCCATCTCACTAACATTAGGACATAAGGGTGTCATAGTTATTAAAAAATGAATTTATGTGTTTGATATTAAATTGGTAAAGTAAATATAAAGTAGTTATGATTTAGAATCACACAAACTGTACCAAAATGGTATGAGACAATCTTAGTGGAACGGATACAGAAAATAAGATAAACAATTATATCGTGAGGCAGGGCCGGCTCTATAAATTAGGAGACCCGGTGCAAATTACGTAAAATAGGCCTTATATTAAATAAATATAATATAAAAAGCAGACTTTAAAAAATAATCCAAAAAAGACTACAATCAAATGTGACATTGAGATATAATCATATTTCGAACCTGAACAACCAAAATCAGTAAAAAAAACTAAAAGCAAAAAGAAATGAATTAAAATCATGAACTAAAAAATATAGAGTAGGATATTACGGAAAAAACTACTCCCTCCGTCCCTTAAAACCAAGTTCATCCAAACTGTACGAGGAATTTGTGCTAATTACTATAACTAGGCTTTATCCAGGCCTTATGTAATAAAGAAGTTGCACATTTATAGTTAACAATTGCATTTTAATTACCTATAAATATTAGTATTTAATGTTTGTATTTAAAAACAAAATACTAAAATAAGAATCTTTAATCAAATAAAAAGGATTTTGTATATTATGTAGACTATATTTAAAATTTTGGGCCTTCTAAATCGAGAGGCCTTGTGCGGTAGCACTTCTTGCACGCCCTTATCTACGGCTCTGTCGTGAGGGAGGCACTAGATGTAAAGTTAGAAGCTGTTCCGTTCGTCTTAATCTTATTACTTATTCCTTAATCTTATTTTATTCAGATCAGATCAGAAAGATTCAGATCAGATCAGATCAGATCAGAAAGATTCAGATCAGATCAGATCAGAAAGATTCAGATCAGATCAGATCAGAAACATTCAGATCAGATCAGAAAGATTCAGATCAGATCAGCAACATTCAGATCAGATCAGAAAGATTCAGACCAGATCAGACCAGATCAGAAACATTCAGATCAGATCAGAAACATTCAGATCAGATCAAAAAATTCAAACATGATTTATCACTTTTATTATTATATTAATTATGATTATTATATTATAGTTATTGTTAATAATATTAATATATTAATATAATAATATTATTAATAATAATATAATAATAATGTTAATAAAATAAAATTATTATTATATTATAATAATATAATGTAATATAATATAATATAATATAATATAATATAATATAATATAATATAATATAATATAATATAATATAATATAATATAATATAATATAATATAATATAATATAATATAATATAATATAATATAATATAATATAATATAATATAATATAATATAACATAACATAACATAACATAACATAACATAACATAACATAACATAACATAACATAACATAACATAACATAACATAACATAACATAACATAACATAACATAACATAACATAACATAACATAACATAACATAACATAACATAACATAACATAACATAACATAACATAACATAACATAACATAACATAACATAACATTTTTTTTTTTTTTTTTTTTTTTTTTTTTTTAATAAATATATTTTTTTATTAAAAATATTATAAAGAGTACAAGCGCTAATGAAAGAAGGAAGTTATTGAAAAGAAAAGCTAGTGAAAAGAAGAAAAAAACTTAAGGAAAGAAATAAAGTAGGAAAGCCCGCCTATTCCGGTCGGTGATTTCCAAATCAAAATGTCCGCCTACTCCAGTCGGTGATATCCCAATCAAAATGGCTGCCTTCTCCAAGTAAAAGATCTTACTGCTGATTTCTCTTTTCCTTAATGCGAGCACTCCTCCTAGGAAATACTTGAAAACCCGTAAAAGGAATTTCTGGCTCAAGAAGACGGTCCAAAAGCTCCCGATCAGTAAGTAATCTACATATAGGAGTGTCATCATGATCATCTCCCAACTCATGAGGCTCAGAAGACTCGAACCCACCTTCAATTGATGGTGCAATGTCTTGAGATGGTAAGGAAACTTGAATAGGAGTAATGTCCAAAACACCATCATTCCCCTCTGTTGTAGTATCGAAACTCCCTTGAATGGACTCCTGGAGAGGAATATAGTCTATGACCGCCCCCTCATTGCGAATATCCTGCTCGCTTTTACCATTCGATTCCACAATCGCCTCATTAGAGGACTCTCCCACACCTTTCCCTATGACCCCTATAGTCCCCATAAGATGCTTCAAATCCTCATTAAAAAGAAGCGATGAAATAGAGCTCTCTAAAGAAGAATCAACCGAATCAAAACGATATTCCATCGAATTAGAAATCCCTAAATCCTCAAGAGGTATCTTCAAGTGTCTCATTTTAAGTGCCCTCATCTTATTTTGTTGGTCAAACAATGCTTCAGAAAAGCGTTTAAATCCATCACCCTTCCATCCTTCAGGAATAATTATAGTTGTTCTCCCCTCATTGTTCATATCAACCAAACGCATGAAACCTCCAAAATGATTTTCTTCAAAAGTGAGATGAATTTTACGGGAATTCTCATACCTCGTGAAAGCCCAAGAAGCTTCGGATTGAATCTGAAGGAATGCATTACACAACCAAATAATTCCTTCCTCATCTAGTGAAATAGATCGACAATGATTGTCCTTAATTTGAGTGATACACAGATAGGAAGGTGTCAATTCAAATTTGAAAGCTTTACTTTCGATGTTAACTGCCATAAATGCAGAAGAATTTGAATTTATTTTTTTCGTACCATGCCCTACCAATAACCGATCTTTCATCTTTGTTTTGCAGACCCGATCTTCCTCTTGCCAAGCCCTGATGTGTTGAGGCTTTGAAATGTTCCTGGGATGATGGCCAGACCACGGTTTTGCCAAATTAGAACTGAATTTCAGGTCTGGTTTAGAGTATAAGACTCTATCTGAGCGAGGATTCCCTGTGTACTGTTTAGAGCTGCACCTGCGGCAAAAAAACTCACGATCTATTGTTGCAGCAGTACATGAGCGTTGGCATCGCCGCCCTGCAAATGGTCGTTGAGATTCTGCCGCCCAATTGGTAGTTAATAGCGCTGCACCTCTCTTCCCTTCCCATAACATAACATAACATAACATAACATAACATAACATAACATAACATAACATAACATAACATAACATAACATAACATAACATAACATAACATAACATAACATAACATAACATAATATAATATAATATAATATAATATAATATAATATAATATAATATAATATAATATAATATAATATAATATAATATAATATAATATAATATAATATAATATAATATAATATATTTACAATTATAATTATAATTATGATTTACAATGTAATTATAATTATAATCATCATTATTATTAATATGATTGTTGTTCTTGTTGTTATTTTTGTAATTATTATTACTTCGGAGTAATTATATATTTAAATTAGTAATTATAGATATAATTATGATTATAGAGATAAATATTATAATTATAATTACAAAAAAAATAATTATAAAATTAATCATAATTAAAAATATAATTACATTTATAATTGTATCTGTATTTATAATTAGTGTAATTGGTATAATTATTATAATTTTAAATTTAATTTTAATTATTATTTTTTTATAATAATGATTATAATTGTAATTTTATTTAAGTTATATTTTTAATTACAATTATAAATGTAATAATTATAATTATAATTACAATTATAGAAATATTCAAATCAGATCAGAAAGATTCAGATCAGAAGAATTCAGATCAGATCAGAAACATTCAGATCAGATCAGAAACATTCAGATCAGATCAGATCAGATCAGCAACATTCAGATCAGTTCAGCAACGTTCAGATCAGATCAGAAAGATTTAGATCAGATCAGAAAGATTCAGATCAGATCAGATCAGAAAAATTCAGATCAGATCAGATCAGATCAGAAAAATTCAGATCAGATCAGATCAGAACTTAAAAAATTCAGATCAGAAACATTCAGATCAGGTGAACGGAACAGCTTCTAATTGAAAGAACATTCGCATTAATGCTAAATAGTGTATTAATCAATGAAATGTAATGACATGATCTTTTAAACTAAAAGTTAAACAAATTTTATATATGGCCTAACGTAATAATGTAGCTTTTAATTGAAACTTGTTCAAAACGCAAAATATTAAAGAATGCATTATACATAAATAATGTAGATGGGTTACCTAATCCATATTATATTAATTATATATAATACGTGTAGTTAATAATCAACATTAATGTATACTCCGTATATGAAGTATGCATTTAGACGAACATTATCAACAACCTTTGTCATATACGTAGTATATATATTCTATATAAAGCTTTAAATACATATTGTCATATATGACCCAACGAGCACGATAACATAAAAGCCACAAAAAAACATAGAAGAAAAATACTACTCTGTAATATTATAGTATGACGTACAGAATCAACACTATCATGGTCTTTGTGTTGGCTATGATGTTTCCTTGGTTAACATTTGCAAAAGATTCAACGCCAACCCTTACTCCGGATGAAGCTGCCAACCAACTTGCTGCCCAAAAACACCTTTGTCTTGTATCTTATCTAGATGAGCACTTTGCTTATCCGTACAATTCATTTCTTACATATCGTGAATTAGAGGACAGGGAAGATTATTGTGATAAATATGCAAATTGTAATGTACTTAAGAAAGATTGTCCTCCCACAAACTAATTACAAACTATTATGTGCAACCCGTCACCCCCAACTTTTCGCTGCTTCATGTTCCAAAAATAATGTAACATATAAACAGTCGTTCATTACTTGAATCAAGTTTTTTGTACAATCAAGGAGTGTTCAGAAATTCATGGTGTTAGGAGATTCATTAGTATTAATTATTATTAGTATTATTATTAGGAAAAATTAATATTAATAATCTAACCTTTATCCGGTCTGCCGGGAACGGTCCCTACTATTGATAATCTAAAAAAAAATCCAACCTTTCTATCTATTCTTCTTTCAACAGTCCGAGTGACTTGCTACCGGCTACCAAACTATTACGGAGTATTTACCAACGTTTATTCTACTCTGCATAACCTTTTACCTCTAACATTTTTACCGAATTCTTTTACTATAATAAGAAAGTTTTTAAGAAATTCCTATGTCTAGGAATAAATCATACTCCCTCCGTCCCAGGGAGAAGTTCCCGGGTTGACTTTCACACATATTAAAGAAATAAAGTTACTGAGGGGTAAATTTTACTGTTTGACACTGTTTCGACACTGTTTGGCACTGTTTCGACACTGTTTGACACTGTTTTGCACTGTTTGGCACTGTTTTTATGTAGGATAACTTTCCATTTAAGGAAATGGGAACTTTTTGTTGGGACTGACAAAAAAGGAAATTGGGAACTTTTCCTGGGACGGAGGTAGTAATAAGAATGCAAAAGTAGGACCGCACCTTTTAAATTCCCAAGATAGGAGCTTATATTCCAACTTTACCCTCTCTACATTAATGATTTTCTTTTCTTTTCCTGACACGCACGTTCCCTGCTCTCCTACGCTACTTTTCATCTTCCATTGTCTTCCCCTTCTCTCCCATCTCTGCATCTTCTTCTTACCCCCATATTTCGAAGGCCGGAAAATTTTTCTTCATCTCCGGCAGCGAAGTCCTCTTCTAGTCTCTTCCGACGGTGCACGATTTCATTCCTGCAACGTGACTCCGGCGGCCATGTGCGATAACTCCGATCTGCAGTGTTGAGTCAATCTTCGCCTGGTAAGTATTATTCTCCTCCTCCTCCACCCTTGCTTCTTTATTTTCCTCTCTTGATTTTTTTGGTATGGTTTTGTTTATTTAATTTTGAGATTCAAAATAAAAATCTGTATTTTAGATCTGATAATTTTAGATCTTGTTTTTTTTATTTTTCGGATTCATTTGTTTAGAAAAATTGAAATAAAATATTTCTTATCCTTTTCATTCTGAAAATTTTCAATCTATCGGCATCTGATTTTTTACAACACAAATAATTCTTTGTAGAAATGGCAGCACATCACTTGTAACAATACATCAATTGTAATGCCGTATTGCCATGTTTTCATTCTTAAAAAAATTATATTTTGGCAATTCATGTCATTACAAGGGTGATGTCATTTTGACATTAAATGTCATTATATCAGTTATAATGCCATCTCTTCATTCTGTACACTGAAATTTTGGCAATTAATGTTAAGTTAGGTAATGTGACTCAAAGTGGGTAAGATGACCATCCATTTAGGTTGTATGAGCAAGACAAAGATCTATATCAATTTCGTCGGAGGAGAAGCCGGTGGTGCCAGAAGACACTGTTTTGGTGCTCCGTGAGGAGGTGGCGCAAGTGTGAAGGCGTCGCCGGCATATGAGGCGGCCGGAGGCGGCCACGCCTGATGAGGTGGCCTGCGACGGGGATTTCAGATGTGGTGGCCGACGACAGTGATGACAGATGCGGCGGCCGGAGATAGCAGGTGCTGTGATGATGGTTTCAATTGTGGCGGCGGTCGGCGTAGGCCGGCGGCCGGCTCAGGGCTGCCGGTGTCGCCGGTGATGTCAGCTGCCGCACAGTTATTATGATGTTGTACGATATCTCTCCGTTTTATTTTGTTTTATAATAACATCGAATTCTTAATAAAGAAGTCAGTTATTCATTAAGGGTAGTTTAGTCAGTCCAAGTCTTGTTTACTCCTATGAAACGTTAGAGTCCTACTTTTGCACTTTTAATATGTTTTACTCCTACTTTTGGAATTCTCTCAAAGTTTTTTAGAATGCGAAATGAACAGAAAACGACGTAGTTGACGACGGTGAAACAACACGGTTCTAGAAGGTGGCCGGGAACACAACGGTGCAACCATTAAAGTTTATCATAGGTAAAATTTCAAAACCCTGCTTTGTGCTAACAAAAAAATCTTTGTTGATTATTGGTGATATGATGGTGTGGTGTGTACATTTTCACCAAGTTCATAAAGTGCAAACCTCAAGATAGCTCCCTAATCATATAAGTTGATGAACCAGTTACTATCAATGTTCACTTTATTGAGCGTATATTAGGTGTTTGATGAAATGCCACACCCATGTGATTTGGAATTTATAGAAACCTAACATATACTTAATAGACCAAACTTAGAGCAATAGACTATAAAGTTGTTGATAAAGAAACTATTTTAAAGAAATCACTGGGATACTTAATAGACCAAGCTTAAGTCAGTAAAATAAATCGAAATGATTTATAAAGTTAGTAAAATTGTACTCCGTATATTATAACCGTAAATATACTTTATAGACCAAACTTAGAGGAAACTGTCCTCTAAACCTAAGATATAGTTTATACAGAGATCTTAGAGGACAGTATATAATCCTAAAATATACAACTTATAAGTAACGGTGAAGTGACGTTTTGTTTAGCTTTAGTTGCTTAGTAAGGGGTTATTAATTTTTCAAGAAGATTGGGAAGGAGAGGGAGAGTCATTAGAGGAGGAAGAGGATCTAGATGAGGAGGAGGAGGAGGAAGGGGATCTCGAGGAGGGGTGGGGGGTGGGGGTGGGGTAGAAATAAGATATTCTAGCTTGACAGGGGTATTTGGGTGGTCTGAATTGGGTTATGAGTAATTTATGTGTCTTATGTCTTGTCATTGCTTGGTTTCAGATTCGTGGCCAGTCAGGAGGATCAAAACTATTGGCAGCAGGCTCAACTTTTGCTTCAAATATTTGTCAACTAAGTCAAACTTCTAGTGTAGCCAACAATTTCAGATTGTAATTAATCTCATGACATTCTAGTTTGTGATATGTACTTTGAATTTGGGCACCAATGCAGTTTGTAATATGAATTGGTTCTACATACCACATGTATTTTGTCAAAAAAAATTGTTTGTGGTTTAACTCTGAATTGTAGTTAATGTGTTTGGGCAGCTTATGTATTTATCATTTTGGCTACAATTTTCAAGTGCATACAAAGTAATGCAGTTTATGTATTTACCAATTGTGGTTAGCATCTATGTTCTATTTATTTAACTCTTTAATATTCACATTTGATATAATAACTTGACAGTCATGTATGCATACATGCACACACCAGTATCTCTGTTAATCATCTTGTAAGTCATATCAGCAAGTCTTTAAGTATCATCTTTGTTGCTTGATGAATTTGTAAGGAGCATATCATTATGCATATCAGTTAACCGGACAGTACCACATGTATATTAACTGATTTGAAGAACAAATATATAACAGATTAACTGATTAACTTGGCAGTATATCAATTAACTTGCTAAGCAATAAGGTATGGACCAGTTTGTAATATGCACCAATATACACTTCAAATTGGGACATCACCAATATATTAACCAACATTCAGACACATGGATTGATAACTCTACACCAATACTCAAACACATTACACACATATTGATTAGTCTGCACCATAAAATTATACCAGAGGGTACTAAAACCAACTACAACAATACTTATTTGAAGAACAAATATACAACACAAAATATAAGCCATGACAGCAGTAGACAAATGCAATATTTCTTCACATTCCTTGAACACTTAAAGTTTTCGATCCGTACTTCTCCAACTTCAACTTTCATCTGCTGCACTTCGTCTTTCAAATTTTTATTTTTCACTTGCAACTTCTTCACCTTCTCTTCCAACAACCTAATATGAAATTCTGCCTCAGTTCGGATTTCTGGTTTTTGAAATATGTTGTGCTCTTCCCACATTAAGAAACGGCAATTTTCGTCCTGACATGCATACAAAACCATAAAAGTATTATTTTCCCATCCAAGATTTCATCTTGACAAAGGACACCTTGTCATACCAATCAACTAATAACATGAAATACAGAAATAATTATATGCACCAAAAGGCATAAAATTGTCCCTCAAAATAAGCAGGATTACTGCCTCATGTTCAGAAGAGGTAGGGACTAAGCCTTACATAACCAAGGTAGGGGGAAATACATACTATATGCTCTAGTTTAAACTAGTTAAATTCTGTGGCTGCTAAAAAGATTGCAGAACGCAAAGAGAAAACTCAATAACTAAATAATACTCATCTCTTTATGTATTGGTCGTTGATGTAGGGTACTTGCTCTGCTTTTCCCTATCCATTATTAAACTATAGCTTAAGATGAACCCTAACGAGCAACCACGAAATTACCTCTGAACGTCGATTCCATTTTTAACAACTCTCAGAACGGGATCGATGTTGTGATGACACTTCATTCTTGGATTTACCCCTTTACTTGATTTCGTCGAGCAACACCCACTAGCATTTGAACTTATGTTTTGTTCGAAGTCGATTGCTTAATTATGCGGAATTTGAAATCTAGAGAAGGAAGAAGAGTGAAGGATAGGATAGGCTGGATAGCCATTGACGGCTAGAGGAAGTGCGAAGAGTGGCGGAAGATATGCGGGTATGTTAAAACGGGTTGTTATATTTTAATAACTTTCAATAACCGGTAACCATTAGTTTGGGACCGTAGAATGAAAAGATGCCACAAAGGTTGGATTTTTTTGAATTATCAATAATAGGGACTATTCTTGGTGGACCAGATAAAGGTTGGATTATTAGTGTCAATTTTTCCTTATTATTATTATTTTTATCGTCGTCATCATCATCATCGTCATCATCACCACTACCAGTCTACCACCACCACCACCTGGCCACCACCAGGCCGCCGCCGCCACCACCACCACCACCATCATGCTCATAAAATTTCAATTTAAAATTCATTCCGGAACTCTATTACTAATAACTCTTGAATTTACTCCTCTAA